TCCGAATAGAGGCTTTCTCCTGGAATTCAAATCCCATCTATTGTTTGGGAGACTGGTTCCGGGTATATTAAGAGTCTAATTCCCCATATTAGATGGGTCCCACATACATTTCATTCCCTCAAGTGTTGGTAAACACTTGAATAACCGGGGAGGAGTGCAATTCGCATTCCTCTTGTTCCAGTCCCCTTACATAAACGCGCCGCTAATGTGGATGTGGATTTCATTTAATAATTTTAAAGCATGCGACATTCAAGCTCGTCATTAAAATATGTTTTTTTATGGATGCTTTAGTTTTTGGCCCTTACAACTCATATTTCCTAGATAAAAACTCATCTACATATAAACATTCAATAAAAGCCCAAATTTAAAATCTGCAGCCACATTGGAATACTATTGACCTACTAATATAATTTATTTACACCCATACCACTTTCCCAAATCCCTAAATTTATTCCAAATTAAAAGTTGTAGAAAATGTTAAATAAAATATATAAACTGTTATATTGCATTAATTGTATCCATATCATACCAAAAATTTACCTTTTTGTGATATATATGTTTTGCATTAATTGGGAAGTAAATTAATTTTTTCCAATTATTAAAAAAAATTATACTAAATCCATATTATATATTTTGAATCAAATAACACTTCTCTAACTTGTAGGTAAATTATTTATCATGTATTGTTACATATATTAGGCACGTTTTATTGTTGTATAAATATAAGTATGACATAATATTTTTCAATATAATACATCAAGTTACATTTCTTCTTGTTATGGGTAAATTATTCTCCATGTATTAGTGAAAAAAAAGAAGATATTATATTACACACGGGGTATAATTTTTTTTTTTTTTGTTGAGAAAACCTAGATTATATATTTTGAATCAAATAACATTTTTGTATACATGGTAGGTAAATTATTTTTCATGTATTATTATATATATTAGCCTATTAGGGACGTATTTTTGGTAAAAATATATAAAGTAATATGTATATGATTGTTTGTAGGTAAAAAGATAAAATCAAAAGCATGATCCAATTCCTTAAGTTTATGCAATATTTTGTTGTTGGTATCCAATATTTTGCATCATTGGAAATGAACATTTCAAATAGTAGGTAGGTAAATTAATATGGTCTAATTATATAAATACACACATACATATTTATACACATTTTGAATCAAATAACATTTTTGTACATGGTAGGTAGATTACTTTTTTTTATATGTATTATTACATATATTAGGTTTTTTTTTTTTTTTTTGTAAAAATATATATATGAACTCATTATGCCAGATACATAGAATTAAGCCAACAATTCTCATATTTGATATTAATATGCAATGAATTTTGTAACATTAATGCCTTATTTTTCTTTTTGCGAAATTATTAACTCTCTCCTTACAATCTGCATAGAATTAATTGTGCACATCAAATATGCAATAGGGGTATTTTAGGCATCTAAAAATATAAAATGTGTAAAGTAATATATAATTAATGAATTCACTTAGGTGGATCCTAGTCATTGGATTTTTTTTTAGTAAAAAAATTATGTCGGGTTTTTCTATGGAAAAAATTGTATTTAAGGGATTAAAGTCATATTTTCAAGTTTTTTTACCCACTAAGCTATCTTAACCTTAACCCGCCACCCCACCCCCCACCCCAAAACCCCCAAAGAAAATTTTATCTTATTGTTGGATTTTGTGGCTCAATACTTCTTAGCCCTTTAGTTTTTTGTCTCAAGCCCAAATAGGTTTGGCCTTTTGTTACCCATTTGAAAGCCACATGGCAGCTAGGGTTTGATTAAAAGGCACTAGCCTTATATAAGGCAATTCATGCCTTTTGGTCAGTGAGGGAGCAGAAATGCAGCGGCAGCAGATAGCAGAAAAACAGAGAGCAGCCGATAAAGAAGAACAGCCAATAGAGAAGAAAATTGGGTGCTGCTGTTTTACTGTTCTCCATTTGTGCAATCATTCATTCAAAGATATTGTGCTACATTTTGTGGCTTTTGGGAGAGAAGGATTTGGTATGTGTTTCTTCTTCTCCATTTGTTCTTTGTATGAGTGAGAGCTATTGGGTGTATGTGGGATTTGGGTTTGAGTGTTGAACTCTATTTGTAATCTCCTTTTGATATTAGTGGAATTTCCTCGCCGTCTCGGAACTAGACGTAGGCTTACGCCAAACCAGTATAAATCCTTGTGTCATTTGGATTATTTGTCTTATCATATTTTGCCGTTGTAGCTTATTGGTTTCATATTTGACGCTTCCGCACAACAAGTGGTATCAGAGCTCTAGGTTTCGACTTGGGGCTTTGTACTAGTATGTCTATGAAACATTCGAATAGGTCGGTGAAATATGATATTGAAAAATTCAATGGGAGGAATGATTTTAGCCTATGGCGGGTTAAGATGCGAGCTGTGCTAGTTCAACAAGGGCTGCTTAAGGTGCTACAGGGTATGGAAGCCTTGCCACAAGATTGGTCTGCTGAAGAAAAAGAAGACGCTTTGAATCGAGCACATAGTGCAATTATGTTATCACTATCTGATGAAGTTCTTCATGAGGTGGATAATGAAACTACTGCAGCTGGTTTGTGGCTTAAGTTGGAGAGTATATATATGACCAAATCCCTCACCAATCGTTTGTATTTGAAGCAACGTTTGTACACTCTCCGTATGACTGAAGGTACACCTATTCAAAACCATCTTGATGAGTTTAATAAGGTTATTATGGATTTGAAAAGTATGGATAATAAAATTGATGATGAGGATCAATCTTTGATTTTGTTGTGTTCTTTACCTCCTTCGTATGCGAATTTTGTTGAAACTTTGTTATATGGGAGAGATTCTATTTGTATGGAGAATGTAAAAGCCGCTTTGAATTCAAGAGAGTTAAAGAACAAGGTATTTGGAAATTTGAATGATTCTCATTCTGAGGCTTTGATAGCAAGAGGCAGAGATAGGGAATATGGTTCAGGTAGTAATAAAGGAAATTTGAGATCGAAGTCTAAGACCAGAAACAACACATGCAACTATTGTCGCAAGGAAGGGCATTGGAAAGTTGATTGCCCAAAACTGAAAGATAATGCTGGTGCGAGTGCGAATGTCGTCGATGACGACTTCGACTTTGTACTATGATGACAGTTGGCTACACCAGATTTGAAATTATAAAAAAAAAAAAAAAAAAAAAAAGAGCAATCTGGTGTTGTGGATACTCTTAAATCTCTCCGCTACATATGGAGATTTAAGAGTTTGTAAGGATTCTTTGTTATGATTTGAGAAAGTTGCTTAGTAGCCTCTATGTATGTTTGTGTTATGTCAGTTGCTCTTCATCGGTGTTTTTATTGTTTTGGATATTGGTATGGTTTTGCTTTTTTGGTAAAGTTGAATTCAGTGAGGGCCAATTTGTTGAGTTATGCAAAGTTTGGATAGTGAGACACCACACTATTTTGGATACACCACGTGCAATGTGGAACATTTGTGTGGAACCCTCTTGTAGAAGGCAAGTTAAATGCTTTCTAGCTTTGTTTGGTCTATGGACATTTGGTTGGATTTGTTTGCCACTGCTATTTGGTCTGTTGGTCTCCATCATCTGCAATTAGTTTTCTTGAAGACTCCAGTTGAGGTATGGTTTTGGATCTCCTACTGATTATTTAAATTTGAAATTTTGGTTGTCCTGTTGGTGCTCATGTGATGATGGTAAACTTGAGTGAAGGGCATATTTTTGTATGTGGTATGTGAGACCTTGTTGCCAAATTTGTAATCAGTTTTGACTTGGAGAATGTGCCATGCTATGTGAATGAGTCTATTGGTGCAGTTTAAGACCATGGTGTTTGTGAGCAGGTGGAGTTCGTTGTGTGTCCAACTTTGGTATGGTGTGCTTGATCTTTTGTTGGTGATATTGAAGAATTTCAGTTCTTCGTTTGAATCACCTTTTGTTTTGATCAAGGCACTTATGGTTTGCAAATTTGGAGAAGACGGTAGAGAAATGGTCTACTTTTGTTGGCTTTAGTACAATTTGAGTCGAGGTGGAGATCATTATGAGTACCGAGAGCTTGTGGAATTTGATTTAGCTTCCGTTGTCTCTAGTTCGTATTTTGGGTGCTTATGATGATTGTTGAGTCGACTCTGTGTTGCTTTCGGGAATTTCGCCAAGGTGGAGATTGTTGGATTTTGTGGCTCAATACTTCTTAGCCCTTTAGTTTTTTGTCTCAAGCCCAAATAGGTTTGGCCTTTTGTTACCCATTTGAAAGCCACATGGCAGCTAGGGTTTGATTAAAAGGCACTAGCCTTATATAAGGCAATTCATGCCTTTTGGTCAGTGAGGGAGCAGAAACGCAGCGGCAGCAGATAGCAGAAAAACAGAGAGCAGCCGATAGAGAAGAAAATTGAGTGCTGCTGTTTTACTGTTCTCCATTTGTGCAATCATTCATTCAAAGATATTGTGCTACATTTTGTGGCTTTTGGGAGAGAAGGATTTGGTATGTGTTTCTTCTTCTCCATTTGTTCTTTGTATGAGTGAGAGCTATTGGGTGTATGTGGGATTTGGGTTTGAGTGTTGAACTCTATTTGTAATCTCCTTTTGATATTAGTGGAATTTCCTCGCCGTCTCGGAACTGGACGTAGGCTTACGCCGAACCAGTATAAATCCTTGTGTCATTTGGATTATTTGTCTTATCATATTTTGCCGTTGTAGCTTATTGGTTTCATGTTTGACGCTTCCGCACAACACTTATATCGTACCAAAGTGACGAGTTTGATTCGTCTTGTTGTTGTCTTGTTGTTGTCTTGTTGTTCCTTTCCCGGAAACTTGATATTGAATTCAACATTAGGCGGATTAGCATCCATTGGCAACAAGACATCACATGCAATTGATACAAAATAATGCATCCAAAAATGTAAATAGGTCAACACATGGTATAGGCTAATTAAGCCCACACTTTTTCGCTATCTCGAACCAACGTCCATAATTTAGAACAAAATAAAGAACTCAATCACAAATTATCATCACCCTGAAGCAGTCTGATCAATCCATATGGAATGGTTACAAATTTACAATAAATAAATTGAATAAGTATCACAAACAAGATTCTTACAAGAAAACTGACCACTTCCACACAAAACAATACACAGCAATGACTACACGCATATATAGTTCAAGAATACATGAAGAAAACAGTGCTTGTAACAGTTTGACTAGCAAAAAATTGAATAAAAATTAAATCCCAAACAATAGAGAAAAATTAAGTCATTGAAATTACATGCATGCCGCAGGCTTGATCAAATATCAGCATAACAGTACGTCCTTTTCAAATTCTTAGGCCTTGATAACTCCAACACTGGGGAACACGAAACCCTTAGAGTGCGGTGGTGTGACTTCAAAGCTCCGACCTTAAACCTAATCCTTGCCTTGAGCCAAACATCAAACTGAATCTTGCCTGATCTTTTCTCAAGCATTAGATCCTTAGAGACAGAGCTGGAAAGTGCAGTGGAGGGAGCCGTGAACTTGACATCAAAGCGGGTCACATTTCGACGGCGCTGATAGAAGGGTTCAATCCCGGAAAATGCCAGAGTCTGGTCATTGTAATTCACTGTAGCGCCAATAGAGTCATAGTATATGGAGACTCTTTTGTTGGGATTATAGGATCTGATGACAAAATCAAAATCCGCTGAGAGGTGGTTATTGGTTAGGTTGAAGTTTTGGATCGAACCATCTTCGATGGTGTAAACAAGGCGTTTCGGCCTCACAATGAGCCAGGTGATGAGCACCACAAGACCCAAAATGACAATTGAAGCTAGCAAGACTATAGCAATGGTTCTAATTAGATTTGACTTTGCTTTTGGTGCTTGCGAGGGTTGTGATGAAGAAGTAGGCATTGTGAGGAAATAGGGTTTCTTGACTAAATTTTGGCTGTGTTTGAATTTCAGAAGCTAAAAATTGTAGCACTCTTTGAAAGCTTGGTGGGTTAAGAGCTGCAAAGTGCACCTGTTCTAATTCAAATGAAGAAATATGAGAGGAAGTCTTGGGGTCTCTGCCAAATTCTTTATTAACTTGCCTTTTTCTCTGTCACCATGGCACTTTTTCTCTTTTTATTTCGTGCATGAAACTCAAGACATCTTGTTAAAGGACTGAGGTGAACAGTTTGTTCTTTTCTTCAGCAATGGGTGTCGTAAGATTGACTGAAAAGTATTATATATGTGATTGAAACAGTTGAAACAAAATCAAACTTAATAACGTTTTCTTAACTACCAGGTGGTTAAAAATGCATGCATGGTGATCATGAGAGCTTGACTCAATCATAATTTTCCGAAAATGTAGCGAATCAATTCACACTATTAATAGTCACTCATACCCTGCAACTATTCCATCAGATCTGTCGTATTAGCGAATTTCTATATGCAAACATTGCCTTTGGCTGTTCGGCTGCTGATGTGTGCACTCCTATTTTAGAAAGGTATGCTGCTACAGGTGCCCTGGACCACAAGAAAGATCATCAAAGAAAAGAATACACAACCATATATACCGGAAATGAAAAAAATGTCATTTCAATATTGGTCACTCAGTACTACGATCTGATGATATTCCTCTTCATTTGAAAATGAGAGGTTTTAGGTTCGAATCTCGTTGATAGCGAATTCGATACCAAATTAGGCTGTCCATTGTGTGGCTTAACCGAACTCCCCCTCCTTTTAGTGTAAAAATATCGATGTACTAAAAAAAATATTGGCTTCATGTCACTATATAACTTTTTAAAACAATATTTAAATGGGTAATGCTACGGAGACCAAATTTTTTAAACCAAATGATGTGGTTTTTTATGATTGGATTATTACTCAAACGTTGATTAACGTGTTTATTTTCTGTTGGTGACACATCATTTGGTTTGCCAATTTAATTTAGAATTTTAGTCTCCCTAACATTACCCATATTAAAATACAGAGTTGTTCCTTCCAAAACTATCTTTAAAAATAATAAAAATAATAAAAAAAACTAATGAAAATGGTTTGAAAACTTTGAGTTTTAACGATAAAGACAAAATAAAAGGTAAAGTGAATAATACCAAGATTGACTTTTTAGTGTAAAAATGAGGTTTTTCGTTAAAGTGAACAGTACTGTGAGTTTTTCGTTAAAATGAATAGTACCGAGAGCTTTTCGTTAAAATTCACTTTAAAAAATTGTTATTATAATTTACCATCCTCTGGTTCTTGCTTTTCTCCAAGACATACTAAAACCACTCTTGTAAGCTGCTTTTTTTATTTTACTTTTTTTTTGTAAGTTCTTTCCATCTCTGCCAAAAAAAGTGAATAATAATAATAATAATCATAGATCCCAGACTTAGAGCTCAAGTTTAACAATTAGAGTTGGAGAATAGCTGCTGATTGAAATGTAGTCTCTGTTTTTTAGGGGAAAATAAAGATACTCAACCCATGATTCCTTGTTATGAAAGCCAGCCACCAGTCATATACTTGAAGTGAAAAAAATCATTTGAAGGAAAGAAAGGAATATGCCGCGCCTCCTTCAACCTATGCATATCATCAGTTCCCATGTGGGTGGTGATCACTAATAGAAATGACCATTTTTCTGACTAAGGTTAGCCTGAAGGAAGGTATTTCGTCGGTAAATACACTTCGCCCGACGAAAAATAAGCCTTGGTCAGGCAAACATGGTCAACGCTTTGGTTTTTTCCTATACTTTATGCAACGGAGCAGTTTAGTTGGGCAAGTCGTAGGTTGCCGGGCAAAAATTGGCGCCAAGGGCGAAAAAAATGGTGCGAAACCAGTCAAACCTTGCCCGACAAACTTTAAAAGGTTTCGTTGCTCAAAGACTTAATTAGGTCTTAGGCTTAAATAGGATTTAGGGTTTAGGGTGACCAACCTTTCCCGACAAACTTCCATCAAACTGCCACTACTATTTGCTTCATTATGGAGGTCTACAGAGTAGTATTGGTGCTAAAATTTAGAGAAGTGCGAGAACAGGAAGGAGTGGAAGAAGCCAATTTCAAAGGTTCGCAGTGAGCAACTATAAGATTTCTAATTATCTTGTTGGGTCACGCGTGCTCATGCAATTTCAGGCTATTGCTGCATGATGGATTCATATAGGGCCGCCAATTGACCAAATCATTATCCTTCCAAGAACCTAACGTTATGTAAGCTTTGGATGTCTTACCAAGTAGGCCTTTTCTTGGGCTACATAGGTCAACTTCCACAACAACTTCAGAAGACTACCCTCTGAGGTTGTTTAAATATGCAAAACCTAGCCGCAACCGCCGAGACAAGCCCAAGTGCACTATCAGGCAGAGGAAAAATGATTATTGTCCCTCCTAATCTTTCTCTTCTTCCTTCTCCTCCTACTTAAATGGTTACAGTTAAACTACGTCAACAGCTTATATTGATTTTTTTTATAAAGATAATAAGACAAAAAGTAAAATGTGAGAGGAGGAGAGGAAAGGGAATGAGAATAGGAGATAAGAGAATCCTACTCCCAAGCAGAGACTAATGCAATCTACCCAAGTCAACCATCAAAAACCAAAATTCGGACTATTTATGTCATGACACTTAACAAATACCATAGTTGGATGAATTACATACAAAAAAACGTGATTAATTCATTACATGTGTATTTTTTTTTAAGCGCTAACATATATACTTTACATATCATAAACGATTGAACTTTAATCAACCGACTTAAGGCGCACTATGATTTCTCTCCCATACAAAACAATACACTTTGTGCATGATCATTCTTCACAACCAAAACTTTAGTGACATTCACATGAGTTCCAACACTTTATTTCTTTTGTTTTATGATATCCCGAGATCCTCACAAAGCAAATCGGAACGGAACGTGGACGAAACCTTTACTCAAAACCCGTTTTTCCTTTGTTTATTTGTGCTCACAGACTTAATGGAGACAAATTGGCATGTACTCCCACCAATAAGCAGGTGTTTGCAACTCAAAAGTGGCATGCACCCTCCTTCATCATCCTGCCATGTGTCCCCATATCCATCGCCCATATCCCTCACACTATGGGGAGCGCGTGACAAGTGGAAGTTCAAAGTATATGGTGCGGTAATAAAAATCCCTAATTATATTAGCCTTATATTATATTATATATGGCAAGGCTGCCAAGGGGAGGAGAAATTTTTAATTGTAACGGGAATGTGGATAGTATATCACGTGTTTTTATGTAAGTGGTGAAAAATTTTAATTTTTAAGTTATTAACTTTTTAACACACATAACATCTCATTTATATAAGAACACGTAGTGTACCACCTATATGACAGTCACACTAAAAAAATCTATCCAAGGAGAAGCAAAAGATGAAAAAGGATCGCCCATATCCCTCACACTATGGGGAGCGCGTGACAAGTGGAAGTTCAAAGTATATGGTGTGGTAATAAAAATCCCTAATTATATTAGCCTTATATTATATTATATACGGTAAGGCTGCCAAGGGGAGGAGAAATTTTTAATTGTAACGGCAATGCGGATAGTATATCACGTGTTTTTATGTAAGTGGTGGAAAATTTTAATTTTTAAGTTATTAACTTTTTAACACACATAACATCTCATTTATATAAGAACACGTAATGTATCATCTATATGACAGTCACATTAAAAAATCTATGAAAAGCAAAAGATGAAAAAGGAGGAAAGGACTGAAAATGATGAAACCAACTTTGGTGGTCGCCGCATATGCCTTGGAAGATTCTCAATGAACCCTACATTTTCAACAACCAACAGTTCTCAACATTTTACATTGCCTCTCTCTCTCTCTCTCTCTCTATGCATATAAATGGAGACCCTCTTCTCTCATCCTCTTTCACAACCACAGCAACATATATTAGGTATAGATAGTGTGAAATACTTCAGGTTTGGCACCCAAGTGCCCTAGAATTCTAGGCCACCCCCACCATGCTAGTCCACTCCATATGCAGCTTTGGATGAGTTTAGGTCAATGGTGGGAGGTGAGCCAGGTGGCTACGTACCGGTTTTCTGTAATGGGAGAAATGGAGCTTGTTCTGCAGCAGCCTCTTTCTCAAAGGGTCTGTTAATATTTCTCCTGCACAGGGCAATTTCAATCCTTTGGCATTTTACTGATCAACTGCGAATTTCTCTTCCTCATTAACTATGCGGTTTAAAGTTTTAGGTTTGTATGAATAATTACTGGTATCTGAAAAAAGCTTGGTTTTTCAGTATTTGGGTATCTTTTTTTGTTTCTCAGTTATTAATTAATGTAGCAGAAATAAGCAGGCAGCTGGTGCAAACTTTGATTAAGATATATGAAGTTTTGCAGATGCTGTAGTTTTCTTTTCAAAGCAATGTATTATGCTGGGTTTAGTTACTAGAGAGTTTTTAATTAATTAGTGTGGTATTTTGGTGGTAGGTTGTTAAATTGTTATGCAATTATAATTTCAATCTTAGTCACGTATCAAATTGATCCCATGGATGTATTTTTCAATCTTGATCCCATGAAAACCAAACTGAACCGAAGTAAAAAAAAAACGACGTCGTTTTTACATAAAATAAAAAAAGACCTTGTTTTTTCATCATATAACCCTACAACCAAGATTCTAAAAGACGCTAGACGCTTGTCGGGCGGCGAGTTGGGGTTTAGCACCTAAGCAGATTAAAGTAAATCTATTATATTTCGTATAAATAAGTGTCTATTTATACCAAAATAGAATGACATATACATTATGGAATATTGGAACATCATGAAAACATGGGGAATAAGCATATAATGTGTGTATTTAACTATTCAACAAGTCTTTTACAATTTATTGAAAAAGATAAAATGCAAAATGAAAGTTATCTATTTTTTGTCTAGGTTAGTTGCAACCTAGGCGAGTCTGGGCGAGCTAGGCTGTGCCTAGGCAATCTAGGTAGGCGCCTTAGGTAGTCTAGGTAGGCACCTTAGTAGGTTTAGGCGTCATTTCTTAATTTTCAAACACCTAGGCATTAATCGGGACGGTGGCCAGCCGCCTAGCGCCTAGGCGACGCAATGATTTTCTTCTGTTCTTCTATTTGGTTGTCAGGCCAGAAT